TCCACTATGTCCCTAATGATTTCTGTGCAGAGCTGCCCTGGTATTCACTCAGCATCAGCGTTTTTGACCTCCTCTGTTTCTGCCGCATGGCAGATTCCCATCACCAGGATACAGTGCGGATGGCTTGTGGACCAGTGCTGGGTGGAGAAAGCCTCGGTGTTTCTCCAGCCTGACCATACTGATGGGGAGAGGGCTGGCAGCAGCTGGTGTGACACCAGCATGGGCAGCACTGTCATGCTGCAGGGGAACCGGAGGGGCCTTGGAGGGCAGGGCTGGGGCCGAGGGAAGCAGCCTCATGCTGCCCTCCCAGACCACCAAAGTCACCCCCCGCCCTTCCCACGGCAGATGCGACCCCCCAGCTCCACTGTCACGGGGGGACCCTTTATCTAGCAAGGTGGTGAGGACGGCCGTGCCATCCGCCTCCCAGCAGCACCATCCTTGTCCCTGGTTCAGGAGGAGACGGCAGCTGACCGTCCCTTGGCACCCAGCAGCTCTCCCAAGAGCGGCAGGTTTGGTGTCTCCTCTGCACCCCACAAGTGCTCCAGCCATCCCTCCCTGCCCGTGTCGCCGGTACGTCACCGCCACCGTGCTGGTGTCAGCTCTGGCACTGCCTGGCAGAGGCTCGCTCAGCATGCGCCAGGAGCCGGTGCCGAGGCCGTCTGCAGATCTTTAGCAAAGTCACAGGCATCCAGGACGGGTCCCCGAAGCGGCAGGAGCGGCTCCTGCCTGAGCCCTGGCCGTGCGGTGCCGCAAGCCAGTTACCGAGAGCCTTCACACCTAAACACACGAGCCTTGGGCTTAAAACTATGTGACATGCTATTTGTATGCAAATAACTCTGTGAATGCAGAAGTCCAAAAATATCATTTTAAAGTCAACTGTAATTAAGTTTGCAATGCATTTCTCTGCTCTTGCAGCCCTGGGGATCCCGCCGTTAACGTAAAGATGAATGCCTGGATGACATTTCTCCCCCTTGCATGGTTTCACTGGTGATTTATTTATCTATTCGGGTTGTGTTTTGTTGTCTCAGCAGTCTCTGTTGTTCAGGAACAGCAAACACTGGGAGTCCATTTAAAAAAAAAACAACTCTTGTCTCATTTCAGTAATTTACTATGCAGAGATTTTGTGTTTTTCGTAATGGATTAGAACCTGTAATTTCGTTTTTTGAATACATGGACCTAATAGCTCACGTAATGAAAGTCTAACAAGCCTGAAGATGAGCCATTAATGAAACAGCAGTTTTATGATTCTCTGCCAATATATTGTAATAGTGAATCACTTATAAAGCTGTCCTGTGCTGATTTATGATGAAACTTGTTTGTGATAACGGAGATACAGCCGTGGTGCCTGCCACTAAATTAGCATTTCCTGACAGTCATTAAACAATGGGAATCATAATCTGGATTTATGGTGTTTGAAGCAGAGCAGTGGGAAAGGCCAATTAAGCCACGTCTGTGCTCAGGTACCTCTGTAAAACAGCCCTGTTAATTTATGTTAACTAATCAGTTTGGTCTCTTTCAAATGAGGAAACCGGTCAAGTGCATGTGAGGGTGCGCGGGCTGGCTGCCGTGCTGCCCCAGGACAGGCGGCCCCGTCCCCTCGCGTGGCTCCGTCCCCTCGCCGACGGGGCAGCGGGGTGGCAGCTCCGGGGCCATGCGGGGCACGGGGACTGCAGCCCTGTGCCAGCACCTGGGGGAGTGAGGCTGGGCTCGGCCATCGTCCCCAGTAGCTCCCCAGCAACCTGGCGCAGACCTCTGGGCACGTCTCTTCAGTATCTCTCCGCGGGTCTCTTCCAGCTGCTCATCTGGTCCCCCTGGGCCACGGTCTCTTCTTGTCCCCACGTCACCTTCACAGGGAGTGTCCTGTGTCCACCAGGGACCCACCGCCCTCGGTGCGTGCTGCCACCTTCCGCAATGTCCCTGGTCTTCCATCGCGGTCCCCTTGTCACACAGGATGTTGTGGGCTGCTGTTGTATCTCCTCCCAGTTAGGGCTTTGTCCTGGTTTCAGCTGGGATGTAGTTAACTGTCTTCCTAGTAGCTGGTACAGTGCTATGTTTTGAGTTCAGTATGCGAAGAATGTTGATAACACTGATGTTTTCAGTTGTTGCTCAGTAGTGTTTAGACTACACTCAAGGATTTTTCAGCTTCTCATGCCCAGCCAGGGCACCTGACCCAAACTGGCCAACAGGGTATTCCATACCATGTGACGTCCCATCTAGTATAGGAACTGGGAAGTGGGGGCAGGGAATTGCCGCTCGGGGACTGGCTGGGTGTCGGTCAGTGGGTGGTGAGCAATTGCCCTGCGCATCATTTGTACATTTCAATCCTTTTATTACTACTGTTGTCATTTTATTAGTGTTATCATTATCATTATTAGTTTCTTCTTTTCTGTTCTATTAAATCGTTCTTATCTCAACCCAGGAGTTTTACTTCTTTTCCCGATTTTCTCCCCCATCCCACTGGATGGGGGGGGAGTGAGTGAGCGGCTGTGTGGTGCCTATTTGCTGGCTGGGGTTAAACCACGACAGGCTTTCATCAAGTTTCTACAGAGCAAGCCCCAAAGCTGGTGGCTGTGGACTGTATTTTAGGGACCCTGGAGGTGTCTGGTCTCGGTCACTGGGCTGATGCAGCTCTCAGAAACACCCATGTTGCAGCATGCCAGCGAGGCAGTGTGGCCATGGTGGTTGTGCAGGGTTTATCCCATGAATAAATCAGCGCCTCACTCTCTCGAGCTGAATTGCTGCAGACAGGGTTGCTGATGTTTGCTCTCCCTGAGCGCTTCTGTCCCGAGGCCTCGCTGCGTTACCCAGACATCCATAGCTCCAGCTCTATTGAAGTGACTGTTGTACCAGCTCCTCCCCAGATCCTTCCCCGGGTCCCCTTGCAAGGGTGAGCATCTGCTGGGATGCCCAGCCGGGGCAGACCCTGTCTGGGGGATGTGCGTTGCAGTGGAGCAGGGGGCTTACACGGAATCCCACGAGCTGAATTAATGATGTGCCTGCTCATGCAGCGGCTGCCGGTGCCATGGGGCTGCCAGGGTGCGGATGCGGCTGGAGGGCAGCAGCCTCGCTGCCCAGTCCCCCTCACTGCAATGCACTTGCTGTGCACTGAAGCACCTTCCCGCGTCCGTGAGAGGAGCAAGCTGGCTGAGCTCACCCATTCCTTTTGGAAGAGCGCTGCTGCATCCCTGGAAAGATGCGGTGGGAGGTGACTGACTTGGGGACGCCTGTCCTGCTCCCCGGGGTCCCCGTGGCCAGGCTGCCTGAGTGGTCTCCGGCAGCCAGTGTTCTGGGCTGCTCTGTTCTGGGCATGTGTGGGCACCTCACGTTAAACATACTGGCTCTCTTTTAAAGGAAACACTCCTGGGGGCACTTTTCACAGTTCCTTGTAAAATTCTCCCCAGGCAGCGCCTGACTGTGCCTCTCAGCCTGTGTTCTGCTGCACAGCTGAATCCAAATCAGCCAGTTTATGAACAGGAGCCACCAACTCGTGCTGCAAAGTGGGAAAAGTGACAGATGCTTCTGAGCTATGAACGTAACGGCAATAGAAGGTGACCTTCCAGCCTGCACCTCTCCCCGAGGGGCTGGGGCAGGAGGGCAGCAGCCACGGGGCAGGTGCCCGGCTCGCTACAGCACTGCTGCTGGGAGGGCTCCTGTGTGCCCAGAGCTGTTGTGGCAGCAGCATGCTCCCTGGCATGGGTGCTGGTGCCAGTCGGTACCTGTGGGGCGCTGGCCTCATCCTGTCTGCTGGCATTCCCTGCCCGCTCCAGCCAGGGGACCCGCAGCGCCATGAGTCTGGCTGCAATGGATTTGATCATTTACTCTAGTAATACAGGACCAATTTATAAATCTTTCCATCCCATTAGTTTTTATTTGATTTGGATGTTCACATGTCAAAGCAAATTATTTAATTAGCGCTAAGCTGGGCTGCAGGGATGCTACATTTTCCCCCGGTCTGGTGCTCCCTCCCTGGCCTTGCAGCCCAGCTCCCTGTGCCAGAAAGAGATGGGTGTACACAGGACCCTGTCTCAGAGCCCTTGGGCCTGATCAAGCCCTGGCAGTGTGGGTGATACCCTCATGGGCACAAGCCCCACGTCCCCTGGCAGCCCCTTGCTCCTGGCTCCCACCAGCGGAGCAGCACAGCACCCTGGGGCCTCATCCATCACCCTGCAGCTTCCCATGGTGTGGTATCGCATAGCCACCACGCTCCTGCATCCCGGCCCTGGCACCGTTTGCCATCACTGGGCACAAGGATTGTGTACAGGCAGCACTGATTTCCTGCCCACCTGTGGGATGAAGGCAGAGGATGAGGGAGCTGTGCTCCCGCTGGGTGCCAGAGACTGGCACACTCCTGGGCTGGCACCCTCCTCTGCCCCGGGCACAGCACTTGCTGTGGTGCCAGCAGCACAGGGTGTACAGGAGCCTGGGTACGTTGTAATGTGATCGGGGAGGAAACACGCTACGTAATTGCAGTAATTCCGGAAGGAGCCACTATAATTTCTGTTGCAAATGGCAACTGGTATAGGAATGGGGGATGAAAGGCTGCAGCAGAGGCTGTCTGCTGGGTGATGCATCCATGCAAGCGACCAGGGTGGGTGGCAGGACCCACTCCCCGGCTGCAGACTGAGCTCCGGTGCTTTCCTTGCATTGATAACAACTTTACTGCTGATGGGGACAGAGCAGCCCCGGCTGCTGCGCAGTGCCAGGGTCCCCAGCAGCCTGGCCGTGCCCTTGCCCTCCGTCCTGCCTGGCACTGGCCTCCCTCGGGAGCCGAGCATCGGTGCCCCTGTCCTTTGTGCAGGGGGGGTCCCTTGGGGCTGGGATGGACCCGGGAGACAGCCACGGCTGGGAGCCTTCTGCAGCGCTGCAGGAGGGAGCTGTGCCTGCCTTGTCCTGCCTTGTCGTGCCGGGAGGGGACACCCCACCAGCCCCACGTTGCGGACACCACCTCCCGGTGCCTGGCCTGGCTCCTTCCTCACTATCACCTTTTGCTTCACTTGCAGGAGCCTGATGCCGCGAACGCTCGACAGCCAGATCACAGTGGAGAAGACCCCCAGCTACTTTGTCACCAAGGAGGCACCACGGCGGATCTTCAACATGTCCCGGGACACGAAGCTGATCGTGGTGGTGAGGAACCCAGTCACGCGGGCCATCTCGGACTACACGCAGACGCTCTCCAAGAAGCCGGACATCCCCACCTTCGAGGGGCTGTCCTTCCGCAACCGCAGCCTGGGGCTGGTGGACACCTCCTGGAATGCCATCCGCATCGGGATGTACGCCGTGCACCTGGAGAGCTGGCTGCAATACTTCCCCCTCTCCCAGATCCACTTTGTCAGCGGGGAGAAGCTGATCACGGACCCAGCCGGGGAGATGGGCAAAGTCCAGGACTTCCTGGGCATCAAACGGGTTATCACAGACAAGCACTTCTACTTCAACAAGACAAAAGGCTTTCCTTGCCTGAAAAAGTCGGAGAGCAGCGGCTTGCCTCGCTGCCTGGGCAAGTCCAAAGGCAGGACTCATGTGCAGATAGACCCCGAGGTGATCGAGCAGCTTCGGGACTTTTATAGACCTTATAATATCAAATTCTATGAAACAGTCGGGCAGGACTTCAGGTGGGAATAAGTGTCCAGGAGCAGAGCTGCGGTGACATGAGGCTGCAGTCTTCCATGAGGGGGGGCCCAGGAGGGCTAGAGCCAGGACCCCCCGGCCAGCCTGTCCTGCCCAGAATCCATGAGCAGAAGCAGGTGGGGGGCTTCCCTGGCCCTTGGGAGGCCGGGATGCTCCAGGGCCAGCCAAGACAGGGGAAGACACAGAGTCCTGCCACAGCCACGGAGGGATGCGTGCCCAGTGGGCATTGCCCATCCCGGCAGTGCTGTGGCTTGTGCCATGGGGTTGCATTTGATTTTACTGCCACATGGTCCCTGAGGCCATGGTGATGGCCCTGCCCTGCAGCCTATGTGCAGGCTGCTCCAAAGCACGTCCCTCCTCTGCGTCCCAAAGCAAACGGGCACTCCTGGACACCCCCAACTGCGGGCATCGGCCGTGGGGCTGTCCCTTGGTGCCACGTCCCACCACGGTGCTGGAGTGGGCAGAGCTCTGGCTGCTCCGCTTTGCCTTCGTCACTTAAGCGCAGTGTGTAACCATGAGGACAGTGAGATGTATCTGCTTGAAAAAGAAGTCTATGAAAAATGTTGTACCGATATTTTGTCCTGTGAATAAAGCACAGAATCCTGCTGTTACGGGTACTTTAGTGGCACTAGTTTCCTTGTTCAGCATGTGATCCCTTTGTGTAAATAAAAGCGGCTACCACTGGTCCGTATGCATGGGCTTTTCTTAGGGCAAGGCTGGGCAGCCCCGTGCTGCTGGGGGCCGTGCAAAGCCCCACTGCACCCATGGGTCAGGCGAGGCAGCAGGCACGGGGCTCGGGCAGGACGGCGATCGGCCCGGCACAGCGAGGAGGAGACCTGTGGCACAGCCCTTCACAGGGGTGACGGCACCGCTCGGGAGTGACGGAGGACCCCGGGGTTAATGCTGCCTCCTGCCAGGCGCAGGGGTGGACGCTGCATTAAACGCAAGCAGCAGTAATTTATGGTTGAATTTAATGGGCTGTTCTATAGGAGCCCACAATTACATTGAAATGTCAAGTGCTGCATGCTTTGCTAGATGGCCCCCCCCCGGCCTGTGCACACCTCCCGGTGCATTAGTCATGGTTGTCCTTTGATTTACTTCCCCAGCGGCTGCAGCTGACCCGGGTGGAGGTGCTGCACCATGGGCAGGCTCTGCAGGCAGGGACAGGCAGCCCTGGCAGATGCCCTCCCCTCCCACCCTGCCTCACCTGCACGAAGCAGAGCAGCAGCCGCAGCACCTGCAACCGGGTGTTGGGGACGTGCCTCAACGCATACGTGCCCCCAGGAAGCTCCTACGGGATCTCACCCAGCCACAGGAGCCGGGAGCTGCCGCACCTTCCCAAGCAGGGCTGGAGCAGACCCCCCCCGTGCCTCCCTGCTGCACCCCAGCCCTGGTCCCTGCAGGTCCTTGCGGGAGGGTCCCTGGTCCCCACCCTCAGCACCAGCCCAGCCGCTGGTCCCCACACCCAGCCAAGCCCCACAGCAGTGCAGTATTGGGTGGCACACAGGCAGGTGCCCCTCGCCCCAGCCGGGTCAGCCCCCTCGCTGCCCCTCCTGTGAGCACTGCACTGCTCCTCGTGTCTCTCTGAGCCAATCCTGGGACCAGCCACCCTCTGACTGCTGGCGTGTTTGGGGACAGGGAATTCTCCCAGCTCAGCATCCTGCCTGGAGCAAGATTGATGGGCTGCATCCTCGGGTGCTCAGAGGCGGGTGCAGCATCACTGTGCTCCTGGCTCAGCACCGCTGCGGGTCCAGCTCAGCACCTCATGAGCAGCTGGGGGGCCTGGGGGTCCAAACAGTTCCCGCAGGGCTCAGCCATGGGGATGAGCCGCTGGGCACCGCATGGGCACGGCCAGGCAGCGTGGGGTCCCAGCCTGCCATGGGAGTGCCCGCTCTGTGGATGCACACACGTAGCCCCATCCTATCCTGCAGCAATCCATCTTACGAGCCTGTTAGGAGGCCCTGTAATGAGCACCGCTGTTCATGAATATCAATAACGGTTCTTGTTGGAGTGGTGTTATTTGCCTTTCCGAGTGCTGGACTGTTTGAATCATCTATTGATTTTTGTAGTAAATCTCAGGCATTTCTGTCAAAGGTTGCAATTTACTACTAGCATCTAAATCACAGCCCAAGCCTTCAGCCTCTCCCCCGTGCCCACACAAACCCGTCTCCGTGCCATTCTGCAGCCAGGCTCTCCCCGCTGCAGGGAGCAGCCCAGGAGCAGCTGGATGGGCCAGGAGGCTCCCACCATGTTTGCCAGCACAGCGTGGGTGCCGCAGCGGGACTGGTGCTTAGGTGTTAGATTCCCCACATGCTCACTGGCAGAACAGCCCAGGGTATGGCAGGACAGGGAAAAAACCCCCTTCCCAGGGCCCCTCCGCCAGCTGCCAGTGCAGAGCTGGGCACAGCAAGGGCGATTCCTGGCCAGCCCCACTCAGATTCATCCTCCGGCAGCACCAGGGCCATGGGGAAAGTGCCTGGGGAGAGCGGCAAAAGGACCAGGGGGGTCCTCCCAGGTTGGCTGCGACCCAGGAGGGCACGCTGTCACCCCACGGTGTGGGGGACACAGGCACCCCCGGACCCAGTGACTCACAGGGGCATGTTTCACTCTGAAACCTGTGCTTTCTGCTGGGTCTGCACCAGGCAGATGCAGCACAGAGGGATCAGCCTGAGCCCAGCCCGAGCAGCCCCTTGGCTCCGCGCACCTTGGGGACACGCTGGCACAGGGGCTGTGACAAGTGCCCAGGAAAGGAGGCACACCTGGACGGGACCAGGGGCTCAGTTTGGGACAAGGCTGCTCCCCCCACCTCGCGCTCCGGTGCTCCGTGCATGTACCACAGGCTTCCCTGGGGAGGGGTCAGCTGCGGGGCTGCTGGAGACCCCAGGTGATTTGGCGATACGTCCAGAGCCCCGTGCTGGCAGGACCAGGGCACAGGTGACTGCGGGGAGCCACAGCCCCAGGCAACCTCTGTCCTCTGGCACGGGGCTGGAGGATGCTTTGGAGCGATGGATGGTGGCTGTGTGGGGATGCAACACAACCACGGACCAGTTTAAGAGGCCTTACTGGCAGTGATTACTGCCCAGTGAGCTCTAATAGGAAAAAATTGGAGGTAATTAATGGAGATCTAATAGATCCCTATCTGCATCTCTTCCACTATCATCCAGCAGCAGCCACAGGACCTGCAGGGGGACCCAGCAGCGAGGGTACCCAGAGCCAGCTGTGGGCAGGCGGAGGGAGAGCAGGGGATTAACAGCCGTCTACAGGAAGATGGGATATTTTCTTGTATGATTTTTCCTTTAAAGGAGAAAAACATTCACAGCGAGACTCACAAATCCCAGCCTCGCAGTAGAAAAGCCATTTCCAATCCACTCTAAGGAGGCAGAAGGTGCCGGGTTAGATTGATCCCCCTGACAATACTGTATTAGTGGGAAATTAGAGCTGGAGCCTGAGGAAACCGCTGCAATATCAAACAATTACTTTACATTTGTCCTTACAAACGGAGGGAGCAGAAATGTGCTTAAATCAAGTATTAGATTTCCAAAGGGTAAGCAAATGAGGGCTCAGGAAGGGCTGTACTGAAAATGCTTATCACATTAGGAGCTCTTAAAACACGGCTTAAAAAGCCTCAGAGTAGATGATCTGCATTCCGAAGAGGCAGGGCGGGGGGGTTGGTAAGGACATCAGGCAGCGCTGCTTTGGTGACGCCGATGCCGAGCAGAGGGGCTGCCAGAGGGAGCTCCCCCCACTTGGCCAGCCCGGGTCCTCCCCACCGTGAATGCCCCCAGCCTGGGGGACGTGGGGGGCCAGAGCCACTGCTCTGGCCACGAGAGCCAGCTCGAGGGTCCAGGGTCCCCAAAACACCTCTTCCTGACTCCTGCAAGCCACATGCCATCCCCGCCTCACCGCCCCAGCCTCCGCACAGGCAGGGGCCACACAGCCCCCGGGAGGGCAGAGGGTCTGGGGGAGCAGCCCGGGTTCCCTGCGAGCCGGTGGGCAGGCAGAACCAGCGGGCAGGGCTGCGGTGCTGCCCTCGCTCTCAGGACAGTCGCTCACATCCACGCTGCAAACAAGCAACACATCTGCGGAGTGTGGGTCCTGCTCCAGCCACTGCCCCCCGAGCACGGAAGCTCTCGGTGAGCACCACAATGCATCGCTGGCCTCCTCCCCCTGTGAGCCCCAGAACACTGGCCAGTCCTGCCAGACGCAACAGCGCGATTTCAAGCAGACCGGTTTAGCTGGACTAATCCCCTCCCAGTGGCTAAGTCTGCTCAGAGATCTGGCTTTGTGAGCACAGTGAGATCCGGCCGAGGTGCACAGGACCGCGGTCAAGGAGGGAGGAGAGACGTTGGGTGAAAGGGTGCGACTGGTCCAGCCAAGTCCAGCCATAGTGTGTGTGGCAACACCTAAGCCAGAGGGTGGTTTCCCGCTGCCCAGGGAGGGGGGCTCTGGTGCAGCAGGGGTTTGCAGCGATGCTCGGTGTGCAGGGATTGCCACCATCACCTGCAAGGAGCTGGAGGGCCCTGGTGCAGGGCCGTGCCTGCGTCCCTGGAAGAGCAGGAGTGTCAGGGGATGCAGGCTGTGCTCTTCCATGGCTGCCGTCGGTGACCATTCAGGTCCGCTCACAAAACGTGCGGTACGGCCCTGAGCGGGAGTGAGACCCATGGTGCAATTACGGGGAATTGGCTTTGTGAAAAGTGTGTCCTACATTATCCAGCTGCCACCCTGAGCAGCTCCCACACCATTAAATGGCTGTAACAGTCAGGAGGAAAACGCTTTCTTTAAGTGCGAACTTTATAAGCCAGCATGTAAATTGTAACGACTACTGTGTAATTTTTACTGGCCTGGAAGGTATGCAACTTAAGGCAACTGTTTCTTCGCAAAAGGTGATGGAGCCTTGCTAGAGGGTACTGCAAAGCCTTGATGAAAGTGTCCAAAGACAGGATGACATGGGGACTTTTTGCTGACCTGATTAACGTGTGTGCCAAGTTCAAAGTGACGAACCCCACCTGGCCGCAGAGGAGGGCTGGGCTTCAGTAACAGGATG